TAGCAAACAAAGAAACGGAGTAGTATTATCACGGTAAAAAAAAAACATTCTATACAAATATCAGAAACTTTGACTTCCATATATTAAAATGTATCAATAGTAATCCTATACAAATAAAGTTTAATAGAATTCTGTTTATCTATTTTTCTTCCTTTCAAAAAAAAGTTTCTTGAAGTCTTTCCTTTTTGTTTCCCTGTACAACTCAACCCAGAGATTCAAAACCCAAAGTATACTAACCATGATAGCACTTACAATAACAACCATCCAAGAAACCCAAATCCCCTTAGGAATCACACCCTGAGCAGCCCCACCAAGCAATGCCCTGCCCATCTTGCACACAAACCAGGGTCCAACAACCCCTCTCACCACCGAATAGAAACCATAGAAAATTGGTGACAAGAAGGGCAAGTCCACTTTCCTGTACCTAGCCAGGCTCCATGTGTTCTGGCAAGGGCTAGTGATCTCTGCAAGAACAAGGAGGCCAAGGAGGGCAGTTGCCCCGTGGCGAACCGCGAAACGGCACGTGGAGAACACGTAGAGGGTGGCCATGTGGTGGGCTATGAAGAGGGCATCATGAGGGTAGAAAATGATGTAGTGCAGGGAGTCCATCAAGAAGTATGCAATGCTGAAATCAAGAACCATTTCTTGGGATGGGGTGTTTGGGGAAGAGAATAAGTCCATTTGGTGTTGGAAAAAAGGGAGATTCCCAGAGCCCTGCCCCTGATGAAGCATTGAAGTGATGGCTAAGATGACTGCAGGGGTGCCATGAGCCAGGGACATGAGGCAACTCGAAGCATCAGACCTTTTCCCATTCCAATTATTGAAAAATATGAAGTACCCCAACAGATAAACACAAAAGAACATTAGAGTGAAACCAACAAGGCTTGGTTCCAACACATCCATGGCTTTCTTGCTTGCAGCTAGATGTATGTTTATACCCTGGGTTTCCCCCAAGAATCGAATGAATTTGATGAAGAAGTGAAATTGGGATATTATTGTTTGAAAGAGAATGGGAGAAGGGGAAATATATTCATACTAAACGATTCCTTTTTCCGTGTTAGAGAAATGATATTAATTTGGGGTAAGAAATGATATTAATATGTGCTGGCAGAATATTCGAATCATACGGCAATTCTAATACTTATCTCATCTAATCTAATCATCTTACAAGATTTCCGGTTGCGCTGTTGCGGTAGGAACCCCAATCATTTTCCTTAGGCTCTGTTTGACTCCGAAAATTTTTGAATTTTTCATTCACTATCATTAAATCTACAAAAAATGCTCACTCCTATTAAAAGAAATGTGACTCAATTTGCTAGAAATATCTTCCGAATCTATACATCTATATTATCTTCTTACAAATTAATTTAAGGTGTGATCGGTCAAACGCAAAAATTCTCTCTCTAGATTCTCTCTAGGGTTTTTACGTTTCCTACTAGGGTTTTCCTAGGTTTTCATCGGTGATCGGTTTCTTTCTGTCCGGACGATGGCCGGAGACGTTGCTATGGATGACGAATTGATTGGGCGTGAGGAGGAGACGAGAGCTGTGGATGAACGGTCCGGCGGAGGGCTGTTGGACGGGACTGTTTTGCTCCGAACGGGAGAAGGGGGGCAGGGGATGCGGCGAGCCAGTGGAGGAATTTTGGCTGGGAGGGTAATCGGGAATAGCGAGGTGTTACCTATGGAGAATATGCAGCGGGAGAAAGGGGGAGGGGGTAATGGCGGTGGGCGATGTTGGCGAGGTGCGCTGGATGGAGAAGGTGGCAGAATGGCGTGTGATGATGTGGGCAGTTTGGATGGAAGGGGGACGGGCAGTAGGGGGCAGCGAGGGAGGGAGGAGGGGGGGCAGTACGGCAGCCGGGGGTGGGGCGGGTGTGGCGGAGTTGACGGATAGGTGGGCGGATTGGGCACTGCTGGAGGAGGAGGGTGCGGTGTTTATGCCGGGAGGGGAGGATGACGGGGTTGAGGGAGGCGGGGAAGGTGAGGAGGAGACATGGAGGGTGGTCGGGCGCTTTTTGACGCAAAAGTTAATTAAACTGGATTTTATGAGGCAGGTATTAGCGTCAGTTTGGCAGCCGGTGCGTGGGGTACAGGTAACGGAGATTCAAAGGGGTTTGTTCTTGTTTGTTTTTTTCCATAAAACAGATATGGACTATGTTCTGAATGGGGGTCCCTGGGCTTTTGAGAATAATGCACTTGTGTGTCGGGAGGTGTTGGACGGGGTGAATCCTGTGGATGTGGAGCTGGATATGATTGATATGTGGGTACAGCTGCATGACATGCCAAAGGGGTACACATCTCATGCAATTCTGGAACAGGCGGGGAATTTTTGGGCTCTTTTGTTAAGCATGATGAGAGATTTGAAGGGGCACCATGGTTAACCTTCCACCGTATTCGGGTATCAATTTCGGTTGATAGGCCGCTTAGGAGAAGGATGAGGTTAATGAAGAGAGATGGGACTACAACATGGGTTAATTTCAGGTATGAACGACTGCATAAGTTTTGCTACTTTTGTGGTTATATGGGTCACTTGCATACTTTCTGCCTACAAGCTAGGGAGGCGGGAATTCCAGTGGAAAGGTACCTGTACGGTCTGGATATGCGGGCTGGTGGGTCTCAAAGCGCTCCTAGAGCGATTGGGGATAGTTTTTGTTGGAGAAGTATAATGGCAGCACATCTAATAGTGGTAGCTGGGATAAGACGCAGGATTGGAAGAGACAACTCTTATTTGGGGACACCCATGGCTACAGGATAATCCAAGTCCCTTGGTACAAACAACTATGCCTGAGGAGTTGAGAGAGGCACAAGTAGCAGGTTTGATTGACCCACAAACACAAACATGGGATCCACATATTTTATCTGATTTATTTATCCCTGAGGATGTGAGCATAATAGTTATGATTCCTGTTAGCCCTGATTATGATGACTCATGGTACTGGATAGGTGACCCAAAAGGAATTTATTCAGTAAAGAATGCTTACAAGCGTATTGTTGGTGATTATGAGAATAACCCAGGAGATTTTGATAAATGGGTTAAGATGTGGAAATTGAAAGTACCACAAAAATGGAAGACTTTTTTATGGAGAGCAGTATGTGATATTTTACCCACTACCACGAATCTAATTAATAAGAGGGTGGAGATTGACCCGACATGTCCTATGTGCAGATTTAATAATGAAGATGTGTTGCATGCATTAGTTTATTGTGAATATTCTGCATTAGTTTGGAATATAACACAATTACCTATCACGAATATTATTACAGATTCGTTTGCAACATGGTTAACTAGGGCTATGACGATTCTAACCGAGGAACAAACACAGCTTTTGGTGGGAGTTCTATACAATATTTGGAAAAGCCGCAATGCAGCCGTGTGGGAAGGGGCCATGTCACGGCCGCAGGCTGTTGTGAAGGGGGCGGCAACATTGCTGAAAGCCTATGGTGCGGTACACGGCCGTTCCACGCGAGAAGATGTACAGCCACATTCTGAACCAGTGTTGTCCAACAATCACATGCGATGCTATATAGATGCGGGGTATCGGCAGGAAACCGGGGAGGCTACGTATGGAATTGTGTTATTAGAGCCCGGTGGCTCGTTTGTGGCAGCTAAGAATGGCAGATCACCCGTTTGTTTTTCACCACTCATGGCGGAGGCTATGGCTTTTAAAGAGGCACTGTCCTAGTTAGTTGAAGGGAGTATTAATTCGGCCAATCTGCTCACGGATTGTATGGTTCTGTGATCCACCATACATCACCAAATTACACTCATTCACTCGTATGCTGGGTTGATAATTGACCAATGCAAGACAATGATGACTTTATTTAATTTTATTTCGTTAAGCTATGTGCCTAGACAGATTAATTTACATGCTCATACTTTAGCTTCGTTAGCTTTTACTCAGAAACATTCTATGTATTGGGATTCTATCCCTCCTGACGCTATTATAGCTTTCATCAATTAATACAATCGACAGATTGATTTTTAAAAAAAAAAAAATATTATCTTCTTACAATTCTAATAAAAACTAATGTTAGACCCTGGAACAAAAAAAAAAATATTTGTTTCCTAAAATGAATGGTTCATATTATTTTGATTTTAGTATTTTTTTAATGTTTTTCTTTATTTACCCTCTATTATATTATTTTCTTTCCATAAATAATTTAAATTCCATTAGTATAAACTTTAGTAACGGAATATTTCGTTAACTATTTATTATTTTTAACTTACTCATTAATTTCTATAAGAAAGGTTTTAAGTTCGAACCACATCCCAATTAGAGTTGGCATAATTGTTAAACATATACTACGAATATGTTAAAATGTATTAAAATATATATATATAATATAAAATTTAACATAAACTTTGGTCAAATAATTAGTCCCACTAAATACATAGCATTCAAAGATTATAAATCAGGAATTTTAAAAATGATTTGATTTTTATGTATTTTTTATTAAAAAATACAAATTTAGGTTAAGTTTTTTTTTTTTTTGTTTAATTAATCTTATTTTGATTATTTAGAACAAAACTTAATATTTCAATTATAATTTTGCATTATTGGAAAGATTTAGGTCGTTATGGTATTAATATTTTTTGTATGTATTTTTTATAATGATACAATTGTACATTACTTTATAAATATTATACTACTAGTTTTTTTACGTGCTTTGCGCGAATGGGATGATGCCCAATGATTATTTTTAGAGTAAATACCCAAAATGTTCCCTCGACTATAGCTAAATTCACAAAATGGTCCTCGACTTTAAATTTCAACCAATTAAGTCCTTAACTTTGTAATTTTGACATGATTTGGTCCTCCATCTATTTGACCATTTGTTGACCGTGATCGACGATCTCCAGAAGAACCTTCAGCTCTCGTCGGAGCACGTGGAGGCCTCCAGGATGATGTTGCACTGGTTTGGAAACACGTCGTCTTCTTCGCTCTGGTACGAACTCAACTACATTGAATCCAAAGGGAGGATGAAGAAAGACGACCGGATTTGGTAGATTGCTTTCGACAGTGGATTCAAATGTAACAGTGCGGTCTGGAAATGCAACCGAAACCTTAAAAAACCGACGGTGGACCATGAAATTACATATATATCCTGAAAAATCACAGTCAACAAATGGTCAAATAGATGGATGACCAAATCGTGTCAAAATTACAAAGTTAAGGACTTAATTGATTGAAATTGAAAGTTGAGGACCAATTTGTGAATTTAGCTATAGTCGAGGGACCATTTTGGGTATTTACTCTTATTTTTAAATAAGTATTTCAAAGTATATCAATGCAATATTATATAGGAGATGTTTATGCATAGGTAAATAAATGTTGAATTTGTTTATTTAAATCGGTAATTTAAAATATATAAATTGAAGATAATATATGAGGGATTGATTATAATTGTCACTAAAATAAATGTTTGCAAGTTTGTAGTAACTCTAGTCTAAATACTTATTCTTAAAGCGATAGTCTAAATAAATACTATTTTTAGATTAAATTTCTCTAATTATTAGTAATTCTCTTTTGGGTAGCATTGTCATTGTTTTCATCTTCAATACATGTCCTTTCTTTTTTATTTTTTTGTTGGTAGTGTGTCATGTGCCATTAGGTTACTGTTGGCAGCATAGAGAGATTCATCATGCAATGAGATTATGGTGTAGGAAGCTTTAAATTTGCATTGCTGCGTATATGACTGAGATTTTAGTTGTAATATGGATAATAATGATGTAAGAACAATTTTGTCCGATAAAAAAATAATTGTATAATATTTATAAAGTAATGTACAATTGTACCATTTAAAAAGTACAAAAAATATTAATATCATAATGACCTAAATCATTCGAATAATAGAAACGCATAATTGAAATATTAAGTTTGTTCTAAATAATCAAAAGAATATTAATTAAACATTAAATAAAAACTTAACCTAAATTTATTTTTTTAAAAAAAATCAAGAAAATCAAATGATTTGTAAAGTTTCTGATTTATAATCTTTGATGCTCAACTTTGAATG